GTATGTACAATTGGTAGAATTCCTCCAGTGTGAAAGTCATTCGTATGCCAAAAAATGTACCGACCTCGACCCCGACCCAACACACGGACCTGTCATGTGTGTGCGTCTTAGTGTATTAATGTGTGTTGTGGTGTATTAGTATGTGGTTTGTTGTATTAGTGAGTGTGTGTGTGTTTATATGTTTTGATATATTAGTGTGTGTGTAGGTGTTTTGGTGTGTGTTTTTTGGTGTATTAGTATGTATATATGTATTATTAGGGTGTGTGTATGTATTTTGGTGTATTAGAGTGTGTGTGTGTGAGTTTTGGCATAAGAGTGTGTGTGTATGTGTATTTTTGTGTATTAAGGTGTGTTTTATTTGATATATTAATATGTATTTATATTTAGAGTTTTTTATTTTACATGTTAATGGGTTTAACTTAATCTATTATGATCTAACCCATTATAACTCATTTATTAAGCAGGGTGAAAATGGATTGGATTTGTTTTGTACCCAATCCAATTTGAACCAACCCCATAACCAACTCAACCCGTTCATTTACCACCTATACTAACGAGATTTGCATAATTTAGTGAAAAAACTCAGGGAGTCTCAATGTAATTTACCCAATCAACTATGATATTTTTTTTGTCATTCCAACTTCTCCATATTTCGATAATTGCAATGATGCTTATAACAACCACATTACACACAAGAAACAACATTGACTACAAAAAACATTCAAGCAAATTGTGTTGCTTTGTTATGCCTTGTCATTTATCTAGCATAGTAATACATAATAGATTGTTTAGTAGGAAAGAAATATGGATAAATAGAAAATAAAGGGTGAAAAATATAAAGGAAAGAAACACTTTTCATGATTTGGTTTGGAGTGAAATATGGGTGGATGGGAAAAGTGGATGAAACCTAAATTCACCCTACCAACCAAATTTAATCCCTCCAAAAATGGTCGAAAATTGGGGAACGAAGCTGCACATGGTGAGTGGAGTTCAAAAATTTACATTTATACCCTCTAAGTTTATTGATTATATATTTTTCAGCTATACAAATCCATAGATGAGTCCCACATAAATAAGTAATAAATGTTGACAGATGTACATTAAGTGCAACACAATTCATGTTATATAATACTCTATACAAGGGTATTTATGGTATTTAAAGGGAAATGATTTCTTTTTTATTTTTTTTACTCAAACCAAATAAAAAAAGTACAAAAACTATCTATACAACCTTTTCATCCTTCTTACCAAACGCAAAGGAAAGAAAATTTCTTTTCTTTGAGGAGGGAAAAATTATTTTTCCCACTTTTTCATTCTTATTCTTTCTATCTCTTATACCAAACGAACCATAAGACTCGTGGTGACAGTATATTGCTATACACAAAACTCAACTTATTAACATTTTGTCTTAACTTTTTTGCAGTGGTGCAAGGTATAAGCCTCAATACAGATCAAATATGTTTGTCATTATCAAGGCAATTGAAGAACTTCATTTGAATGAGTATCACAAGGCAACATTGAAAAAGACTCCATTATGGTTGCTTTTTGAGAGTATCATTGACCAAACTATGGACAAAACATGGTGTCGTAAAAGTGACAGAAACATTATTGTAATACTATTATGTTTCAATTCCGATACATCAAGATTCGTTATCGAAAGCGAAAAACTGAAGTTGCGATCTAGTGATGTGACTCTGATATTTGGGATACAAGATGGGTGTGAAAAGATAGATTGTACAATACATGAAAAATCATTTACACCCTTTACTGAACGCTGGTTCAAAAAGGATTGGAGGTTGATAGCAACATTGATAAGAAGCAAGCTGAAACAAGAGTCCGAAGGGGACAGTGAGACTGATTATGATGATTTGGTTAGATTATTGTGTATGTATTTGTTGGCAACTTTTTTTTTCCCAGTAATGGGAAACACAATGAGTTAGGGGTTTGTACCATATATTAAAATTTTGGATGCATGTAAAAATTACAATTGGTCTGAAACTATAACTGATGCTCTGGTTTCATCCTTAAAGAAGAAGGAAATGCCGACAACTATCAATGGATGCATCATCCTAATACCAGTTAGTGTTTAAATAAAAATAATATGTTAAGTTGAGAATTGAAATTACTTTGCTATAAACCAATATACTCTGATTATTGTGAGCTTGTATATTGCAGTACTAGCTGTGTGAACACACCTCCATGATAACTCCTAACACTAAAAGGCCGTTTCCTCGGTTCCTG